AGAAGTGATGAAAATGAATTAGGCACCCTCGGAGCCTAGTTAGGAGAGGCTATCCATGTGCATCACATATTCATGTGATCGCATTTCGGTTGTTCCTCATGTTTAATGTTTTCTAAATGTCAGCATACATTCCCGGGGAAGGGAATCACAAGGGAAAACTTGGGAAGTCGAAAAAACACTTATATATACACCCTGCCCGTTCGATGGTTCCCAAGTTCAACTGCGCCGACCTAGGACTCCTTCTTTTCACTCTTTGAAAGCTGAACGTCCTTCAAGTCCATTGCGGACGTCCTTCGAGTCCATTGCAGCTTTTTTGCGTTGTAAGCTTTGATTACTTTCACACAGCGATAATTTCAGGTGGCGAACTACGGTCTTGGTGGTCATTATGATCCACATTTCGATTTTGCAAGAGTCAGTTTCAGTTCTTAATACTTTTGAGCTTCACTTTTCTTTTGCAGATAGCCAATTATGGCATTGGTGGTCATTATGCTCCACATTTTGATATGTCGACGGTAAGCGATGTGATTGTGCATGCTCTCTGAAGTCCCAAGTGCCGTTAGCGAATTTGGGCCCTGATAACCTTCCCTAGTTGCTTTGATAAGCCGTGTGAATTGCCGAGCAGTGTTTTGTAGGGGAAAGTTTTTGAAGTAGCGTTCTCGTAGATGTTCCTCACCTTATTCAAGTTGTGGGTTTTGTTTGGTTATGGGGAACAACACTGGATCTCTCACAACACAGTAAACACTTGCACCGAGAGCTTCGGAAGGCCAATTCACCGTTGTTGAATTGGTCCTTGTTTCAGCACGTGGTGGTACCATCTGAATAACTAATTTCTAGGTCCATTTTTGTTTTAGTATGATAACAATTATTATGTTCATTGAACAGTAAATCGTTCCTTATGAACTCTTTGTCGTGCACTAATCCACCCCTGCCCTGTGATCTTCGTTGTTCACTGAATTTTTCGAATAAGGACCGTTTTAGAGAGGCGAAAAGGAACCTTATCGAGAGAATGGCAATCGCATCGCTACCGTGTTGTTCTATGTAAGTGTCTCAGTCTTATCAACATCTTATTTTGTAGAAAGAGGAAAAGAACGCGTTCAAGTCCCTCAACACTGGAAATAGAATCGCGACCGTGTTGTACTACGTGAGCTTCATCCATTTTACTTTTTTTCTCAACGCTTTATCAGAGCTGCCATTTTTAAGTATATCTTCTCTGGCTGCAGTTTTATTTCAGTTCCAAAGCAACGAGAGCTGAAATTGCTGATACAAACGTATTTTTCGGGACAATCTGAAAGAGCGGAAAAGTAGCGACCTCATAAAATGGTTATAATGGGATTGCCTTCAACCGGGCTGGGTCGTGTTTTGTACCTCGCTTTCACATTTCCGTAGCCTTCCATTGGGTACCACCTCATACAGCGTTCAACTAACGAAACGGCGTTTGTGTATGGGAGAGGGGTACGAAGAAAGTATCTTTTGCCCGATTACGCCTCATTAGCCAAAGCGTTCCGTTCCGAACAAGTGACTTCTACATGGGCATTTTACGGCACAAATTGTCCCTAGTTGTCAATCACCACAAGAGCAGAAGCAGGCCCACCTTCACTGCCCTCTCCGCGTTTCGAATATAACATCATTTTCCTTAGCCGTCTAGCTCAAGGAGGCCTGACCGTAACTGCTCCAGGCCTGGAACTGCAGCATACTTTTTTTAATTGTTCAAGTGTTGATAGCTTTCCAAATCTGGATAACGTCGTAGTCGGGAACCTCGTTGAACTCGGAATCGTGCACCGTGTTCTCATGAGAGATTCTTGTGATCTGAAGGCTATTATGAAGTTTTGTGAAGGACTGGAATGTACTCACCAATTTTGAAATGAGTGTGATTTAAGTTAAGCGAAATGTAATTAATTCCCATTCTAGATGCAGAGGGAGAATGCCCGCTTTGTTGCCTTCCTCTGTGGATGTTGAAGTTCTTCGAGAGGTCTCACTGGGTGACCTCTCGGAGAACTTTAGTATCCATAGAGGAAGGCAATAACCTGAGCACTGGGTAGGATTCTGAATATGATTAAGTGGACCTCCTCTTGTTGACTTATGTCAATTAAAGGCAAGATTCAGGATTAAATTGATGTGGTAGTTGCACTCAAGTGTGAAAGTAGGGATGGGAGGTGGACCGCCAGTGGAGAAAAAAGGAAGAAAATCCTGAAAAATACACAGGAAATACGAGCATTTGCTCATGCTGTGGAGAAGTTCAAAACAGGCAGGGAGATGAGAGATAATGTGAGCGCGGAGAGTGGTAGAGAAGTCCGAGAAGAGAGAGCATAGCAGATCAACGTGGCGACGCAGACAAGATATCGAACGGTGGGCGGACCATGTTAAGTTTGGTGGGAGTCTGTTAGAAGTCCATGGCGCCTAGGGTCCTAGTGACGCGTTTCGATGTAGAAAGGTGGCGCTACCTTTGCACTTGCGTACCCAGCACTTCTAGCCATGGTAAGGGCTTCTTAGGTGGGTCTGAGCCCGAACTTTGCCTTTAAGGGAAGCTCACGAAATGATACGATCGGGCTGGACCATGCACAAGGCAACCGAAGCCTAGTATCTGAAACAGGCTTGAATTTCGTGTAGAAGTGTGAAATGTGTGGAAGCCGAAGAATCGCAGTTTGACGTCTACCACTACAAAATTTTCACGTCATAATTTGGCAACTTCACATCACTTGTGATTACCCTTCTGAGTTGTGATAATTACTCTGATACTGCTAGACAGCCCTGAAAAATTGTAAAGAATTCCTCCATCTCTCAGCTACTCGCTCTTTGTAGATGACACAGCCAGAACGAGGAGGGGCGACTGTTTTCAATCACCTCGGCACCGCTGTGTTCCCATCGAAGTTTGACGCGCTCTTCTGGTACAATCTGTTGAGAAGCGGTGAAGGAGACTTGCGCACGAGGCATGCTGCTTGTCCAGTGCTGCTCGGCGTAAAATGGGTTAGTGATTCAGGCGAGGCTTTCTTGTTACCAGAATTACTACTTTCTTTTGCAGGTGTCGAATAAGTGGATTCACGAACGCGGACAGGAATTCACTCGTCCTTGTGGCTTGGATGAAGACGTTCAAGAGTACTTTGTTGGAGATCTCACTCCTCATTCTCGCAAAAAGATAAGCAATTAATCTCTAGATGTCTTCCATGTTGTTTCTTGTCTGTGTCTCAGTTTTGCGAGTTTTTGTTTACCTATAAGGGCTGGGTATTAGAACCAACGTTGTTGTCTTGTCATTCTCACTGCATCTTTGATTAATACGGTTTTCGTTGTTAAAAGTGGTATGATACTTGCCTTAAATGCCTTGTTTTCTTATAAATTATAAATATAGATATCTCTAGCTATATCGTACATTTTGGGGATTGCTATCAGTTTAGTTTATAAAAGACCATTTACTACAAGTGACAAGTGCTGTTACACTAGGGTGTGACACGAGCACGGGCCACGAAGAAGAACAATATAAACTCCCCTCCAAAAAGCGAGGAAGTGTCGTGTGCAGACCAAACACCACAACTGACGAC